AGGCAACCTAGAAGGATCTGCAAGGATTTGGCAGAAGGGTCAAAGGAGGCCGGGGTGAGGGGACTTTGGGGCCCAGAAATGTTCAGAAGCAGAAAAAGGCATCATTAAAAATATAATTATTGTTTTTCTCTGCTTTCATTGGAATAATGTAGTGCCATACCTTGTAGAAGGACAATGCTTTTTCAGATCACCCAGTCAGAAGCTGCCTTCTTTGACACAATGTAGAAGAGGGAAGGTGGCTGCCTCTTTTGGGGCCTAGCTGAGAGAAGGCAACCTAGAAGGCCTGCAAGGACTTAGCAGAAGGCCAATCAGAAACCATATGCAAATTTCCTTCTCTCATGTCCTTGCTTCTGTCATTAACCCTCTTTGCCACCAGGGGGCCCTCTTGAGGTTGGCCAATCAGAGACAATATGCAAATTTCCTTTGCCCTCTCAGCCACTTGAGGATGTTGGAACTTTCAGGCTGGCCAATCAGAGGCCATATGCAAATAGCACCGCAGTGGCAGCCAATCAGAAAGCTGCCACAAACTCCTACCTATGTCCTCCTTCCTCTGTCCTCCCTCGCACACAAACTTTGACTTTTATTATATATATAGACTAGCTTGGGGACCCGGCGCTGCCCGGGTTATTAGAGAAAGGAATCGCAGTGGTCTCAGGAAGTTAGTGAAGGTACTGCGAGTCCCATCATCTGTGGTCCATCCTCCTCCAAACAGCACCAGGATGGAGAGTGGGTCATGGGGGCTGCTAAGTTTGGTCTTGATCAGTCATTGGATGAGGGTCACAGCGGTCTCAGAAAGTGAGTTAAGGTACTGCAAGTCCCATCATCCATAGTCTCCCTCAAACATCACCAGAATGTTGAGTTGGCCATGGGGGCTCTCTGTGCCAAGTTTGGTCTTTATTGGTATTTGGATGAGTGTCACTGTGGTTTCAGGAAGTGAGTGAAGGTACTGCAAGTCCCATCATCCATCGCTTCTCCAAACAGCATCGGGATGTAGAGTGGGTCATGGGGGCTCTGTGTGCCAAGTTTGGTCTTGATCGGACATTAGATGAGGGTTGCAGCAGTCTTGGGAAGGGAGTGGAGGTACTTGAAGTCCCATCATCCATGGTCTGTCCTCCTCGAAAGTGCACCAGGATGTAGAGTGGGTCATGGGGACTCTGTGTGCCAAGTTTGGTCTTGATCAGTCATTGGCGAGGGTCTCAGTGGTCTCAGGAAGTGAGTGAAGTGACTGCAAGTCCCATCATCCATTGTCAAATTCTTCCAAACCACACCAGGATGTAGAGTGGGTCATGCGGGCTCTCTGTGTAAATTGTGGTCCTGATCCATCATTGTTGGCAGTTGTAATGGTGTTAGGAAGGGAGTGCAGGTATTGCAAGTCCCATCGTCCATGGTGCATCCTCCTCCGAACCTGCACCAGGATGTAGAGTGCGTCATGGAGACTCAGTGTGCCAAGTTTGGTATTTATTGGTAATTGGATGAGGGTTGCAGTGGTATGAAGAATTAAGCAATGGTACTGCAAGTCCCATAATCCACGGTCCATCCCCGGCCAAACCACACCAGGACGTAAAGTGGGTCTCTATGTGCGAAGTTTGGTCCTGATCAGTCATTGGATGAGGTTAACAGCGGTCTCAGAATGTGAGTGATGGTACTGCAAGTCCCATCATCCATGGTTCATCCTCCTCCAAACTGCAGTAGGATGTAGAGTGGGTGATGGGGGCTCTGTGTGCCAATTTCGGTCTGTATTGGTAATGTTCTGACTCAGCCCCTTTTTGGCCTTTTCCTTTCCTCTCTTTTGTCATCTCGGAATCTTGGAATTGAGGCTGGCCAGTCAGAGACCATATGCAAATTTCCTTCTCATGTCCCCAGTTTCTGTCATGAACTCTTTTCTCCACCAGGGGCTCCTATTGAAGCTGGCCAATCAGAGACCATATGCAAATAGCACCACAGCGGCAGCCAATCTGAATGCTGGCACATACTCCTCCCCCCACACCGCCACACTTTTGTCCGCCGCATACAAACTTTGACTTTTATTATATGTATAGATATAGATATAGAACAACAACAAGCTGTGCCCTGCCACGCGTTGCTGTGGCCTATAGTAAAACTTATCAAAGTTGAGGTAGATATCTGGACTATTATGAAAGAGAGGTACCTACCTATTCCTTCCCCCTTTTCCTCCCCCTTTCTCTTCTTTCTTCCTTCTCTACCTCTTTCTTTCTTTCCTTCTTTCACTACTTGGTTTCATCCTTCTCTCTTTCCTTCATTCCCTCCCCCTTTCTTCCTTTGCCTTTCTTCCCTCCCTGTTTGCTTCCTTCTTTCACTTTTTATTTCCTTTTATTTCACCACCATCATAACAATAACAATAATGCAATGCATTGCCTCTGGGACCTGACACCTCTCCCATTCCCCCAGGGTCTAATAGGAATAATAGCATAATAATAATAGAAATAACAACCTTTACCCGCCACGTGTTGCTGTGGCCAACCTTCCCTCTTTCTCTCTTTCTTTCCCTCCTTCCTTCCTTCCTTCCCTCCCATCTTTCCTTCTCCTCTTCCTTCTCTATCTCTTTCCTTCCTTCCCCCTTTTTCTTTCTCTTCTGGTCTCTTTTCTTCCTTCTCTCTTTCCTTCTTTCCTTCCCTCCCTCTTTCTCTACATCTTCCCCTTCCTTCACTCCCTCTTTCCTTCCTTCATTCCCTTTTTTCTTTCCTTCTCTCCTTCCTTCCTTCCCCCTCTTTCCTTTTTCTTTCCCTCTCTTTCTCTCATTTCTTTCTTCTCTACCTCTTTCCTTCCTTCCCCCTTTTTCTTTCTCTTCTGCTGTCTCTCTTTTCTTTCCTTCCATCTTTCCTTTTCTTTCCTTTTCTTCTTCCTTCTTTCTCTAACTTTCCTTCCTTCCCCCTTTTTCTTTACCTCCCTTTCTCTTTCTTCCTTCTTTCCTTCCTTCCTGTCTTTCCTGGATTTTGACAGGGCGGGAAGGGCGGGGTGGGGTTTGGAGGTGGCGTGAAGTAAAAGGAGGTAAGATTGGGGCAGGGGAGTGATGGAGCGTGGGGTTGTGTGTGTGTGTGCGGCGGCAGGGGGAGTGGGTGGGGTTGCGTGTGTGTGTGCAGCAGCGGGGGAGTGATGGAGCGTGGGGTTGTGTGTGTGTGTGCGGCGGGGGAGTGGGGTTGCGTGTGTGTGTGTGGCGGCGGGGGAGTGGGGTTGCGTGTGTGCGTGCGGCAGCGAGGGGAGTGATGGAGTGTGGGGTTGTGTGTGTGTGTGCGGCGGGGGAGTGGGGTTGCGTGTGTGTGTGCGGCGGCGGGGGGAGTGGGGTTGCGTGTGTGTGCGGCAGTGGGGGGAGTGATGGAGCGTGGGGTTGCGTGTGTGTGTGCGGCGGCGGGGGGGGGTGGGGTTGCGTGTGTGTGTGCGGCGGCGGGGAGTGGGGTTGCGTGTGTGTGTGCGGCGGCGGGGGAGTGATGGAGCGTGGGGTTGCGTGTGTGTGCGGCGGCGGGGGGAGTGGGGTTGCGTGTGTGTGTGCGGCGGCGGGGGAGTGATGGAGCGTGGGGGTTGTGTGTGTGTGTGGCGGCAGGGGGAGTGGGGTTGCGTGTGTGTGTGCGGCGGCCGGGGGAGTGATGGAGCGTGGGTTTGCGTGTGTGTGTGTGGCGGCAGGGGGTGATGGAGCGTGGGGTTGCGTGTGTGTGCGCGGCGGCAGGGGGAGTGATGGAGCGTGGGGTTGTGTGTGTGCGTGCGGCAGGGTGTGTGCGGGAAGCGACGCGGCGGGGCTTGGAGTGGGCATGGCTTCTGCAGAGGGAACGTTAGCCGGAAGGCTGTGTGCGCGCCCAGGGAACTTGCGTCTGGGCGCCAATGCGCATGCTCAGTTGTTTTGCCGTATTGTGTGTTGTTGTGTTGTTTTTCATTTTGAGTAGATATGTTTGTACCTTGTGGGTTGTGTTATGGGCATGGGAATTTTGGTTAAGTTTTGTTGGGTTTTTTTGAGTTTTGTTATTTTGCCGTTTTTTGAGTGTGTTGTTGTGTTGTTTTTCATTTTGAGTAGATATGTTTGTACCTTGTGGGATGTGTTATAGGCATGGGAATTTTGGTTAAGTTTCGTTGGGGGTTTTTGAGTTTTGTTGTTTTGCCGTTTTGTGAGTGTGTTGTTGTGTTGTTTTTCATTTTGAGTAGATATGTTTGTACCTTGTGGGTTGTGTTATGGGCATGGGAATTTTGGTTAAGTTTCGTTGGGGGGTTGTGGAGTTTTGCTGTCCCGTTGAACCAACCTAACAGATTTATATATATATATAGATATGCAATATATTAAATATATATGCAATATTATAGATAGATATAGATATAGATATTGTAAGCTGCTCTGAGTCCCCTTCGGGATGAGAAGGGTGGCATATAAATGTCATAATAAACTAAAATAAAATAGCATGTTCTTGATGACCAGAATCTCCAAAGGTATTGTCGGAGGCTTTCATCACTGGGTTGTTGTAGGTTTTTCAGGCTATACAGCCATGTTCTAGAAGCATTCTCTCCTGTCGTTTTGCCTGCATCTATAGCAAGCATCCTCAGAGATTGTGAGGTCTTTGAGGATGCCGGCCATAGATGCAGGCAAAACGTCAGGAGAGAATGCTTCTAGAACATGGCTGTATAGCCTGAAAAACCTACAACCCATTTCCAAAGATAATCATTTGACAATGATTCAAAGACACTAAAGATATTTAGGTGGCCTGTTCTACGCTGTAGAATGAAGGCGGTCTGACACCACTTGGCCTGGCTCAGTCCCGTAGAATCCTGAGAGTTGTAGTTTGACACCAACACTTTTCGGCAGGGAAGGCTTTAAATAACCCCCTAAAACGACATCTCCCATGTTTATATAGCATTGTGCACTGGCAGCTAAGAAGGGGTCGAACTGCACTCCCTCGTGCACAATGACAGACTGGCGACTTCCGACAGGAAGCTCCTCCTCCCTGCGAAAGAGGCTTCCTTTTCCCTTGACTTCCGCCCTCGCTTTGCCCCGCCCACCACGTCCTCTTACGCGTGACGTCATTTCCGACAGGGGCGGCCGTGGAACTAAGCGGTGGCCTGGTCGCCGGGCTCGGAGGGAGAGGTGAGTGGCGGAGCGGCTTCGCCAGGAGCGCCTTCCCTTCCTTTTCCTCAGCTGCCTGTTCTGTATGAATATTCATGAGCCATGCTTGGGACACCCAGAAAGGAGGCCCAGTCACTCCGAGCCGACTCCAGGCTGGAAGCACCACCTCTGCCGGTCCTGCTTGCTGTGCATTCATGAAAGGCCCCTGCCGAGGGAGGGAGGGCAAAAGAGGTTTAAGGCGGCTTACAGCCAAAACCAATGGAATAGAATTCACAACCTAAGGTGCAGGTTTCCCCTTGTCATTAAGTCTAGTCGTGCCTGACTCTGAGGGCTGGTGCTCATCTCCATTTCTAAGCTGAAGAGCCAGCATTGTCCTTAGACACCTCCTAGGTCATGTGGCCAGCATGACTGCATGGAGCACCGTTACTTTCATGCCGGAGGGGTACCTACTGATCTACTCACATTTGCATGTTTTCAGACTGCTAGGATGGCAAAAGCTGGGGCTAACAGTGGGAGCTCACACTGCTCCCTGGATTTGAACCTGCAACCTTTTGGACAGCAATTTCAGCAGCTCAGCAGTTTAAGCCACTGCACCACTGGGGACTCCATGAACTATATAAATTTAAATGGCATGAGATGGTATGACTCAGGGCCCTTCCACACAGCCATATAATCCAGAATATCTACAAAACAGATAATCTACAATATCTGCTTTGAACTGGATTATGAGTCCACACTGCCACATAATCTAGTTCAATGTGAATTTTATACAGTTGGTATGGAAGAGGCCTCACTAGAAAAGACAACTGATGCATGGCAAGGTGGAAGGCATCAGGAAAAAAGGAAGACTGCTCTCCAGATGGATAGAAGCCGCAGCTCTGTGTTTGCAAGATCTGAGCTGGGGCTAACTGTGGGAACTCACCCCATCCTGTGTATTCGAACCACCAACCTTTTAGTCAGCAAGTTCAACAGCTCAGCGGTTGAATCTGCTGTGCTACCAGGTGGCTCCTCAAAAAATGGATACAAATATTAAAACAGAATTAAATATGAATGGTATTAAAAAGTGAACAGTTTGATTCCTTAAAACGGATTTAAATTGACTATCTAAATCTATTTCTCTGGGGAAAGTAGAGTACTTTGGCATTTCTTCCATGCAAATTGCACAGGCTTCTTTGCCTTACACAGAAATATTTGTAAGTTGCTTATATTTTGCATAGTGCAACATTGAGTCCTGTAAGGTTACATTATAGCTTTTGCCTTTCAAATACATCTATATTGAGCTTTATATTGGTGTCACACAAAGCTCAATGTGGTGTCTCTAGCTGCATATACAGAAATCTGTTCAAAAAGAAGTATTTATTATTTATTTCGAACATTTGTACCCCACCCTTCTCAAACCCCCCAGGGGGAACTCAGAGCGGCTTACAACTAACAACAATTTGCTGCCCCACATACAACATGATAAATACAGTAATTACATAAATAACATTAAATTAGATTAAAATTAAGTCCATTTAAAATTAAACACTGGCTGGTTAGCCAGTACAGTGATCAGTTAGTCTTGGTTTATTTTGCTTTTTGTTGAAAATTATATCTCCTCTATAGCAGGTCTATGTAGGGCCGCGGTGGCGCAGCAGATTAAACCGCTAAGCCGCAGAACCTACTGATCAGAAGGTCGTTGGTTCAAATCAATGAATGGGGTGAGCTCCTGCTGTTAGCCCCAGCTTCTGCCAACCTAGCAGTTCCAATACCTGCAAATGTGAGTAGATCAATAGGTATTGCTTCTGCAGGAAGGTAATGGCACTCCATGCAATCATGCTGGCCACACAACCTTGGAGGTGTCTACAGGCAACGCCGGCTCTTTGGCTTAGAAATTGAGATGAGCACTCCCCCAGAGTCGGACTCAGCTAGACTTAATGTCAAAGGGAAACTTGTTCTTTGCATTTATAGCAGATCTATACAACCTGTGGCCCTCCAGGTGTTTTGGACTTCAGTTCTCAGAATTCCTGGCCACTGAACAAACTAGCAAGGGCTTCTAGAAGGTAGAGTCCCCTGGAGGGACACACATTGTGCCAGCCTGCCCTAGACCAATATTTAAATAATCCACGAACAATAATTTTGTATCCACTCTGCTGTGGAAAGACAGCAGGAAATCTGCAGACCGGAAGGTTGGCAGTTAGAAGCTGCAAATCGGGGTGAGCTCCCAACTGTCAGTCCTAGCTTCTGCCAGTCTAGGAGTTCAAAAGCATGCAATGTGAATAGATCAATAGGTTGCCTCAGCGGGAAGGTAAAAGGGTGCCATATGCAGACATGCTGGCAACCCAGTTAAAGATGTCTATGAACAACAGGCTCCTCAGCATAGAAACCACCCTGGGTCACCTAAGGGCTGAGAAGAGCGGTATACAAATGTAGTAAGTAAATTAATAAATAATAGAAAAATGGAACACAATGGAAAAATGGCCAGGGTTGAGCATCACCTCCAGATGCCAGAGATGGAAAGAAGGGAAGACCTTTACCTTTACCTGTGTTATATGTCATTGTTCACTGTGTGTAAAAAAAAGCATTGCGTGTTTGCCTAACGTGTGTATTTTAATCTCTGAGTCCCTCTGCAGAGATTAAGTGGAATATAAATAAAGTGTATTATTATGCTATTAACCCCCCCCCCCCCCTGTTTCCAGCAACAATGAATGAAGCAATCCCTGATCCCAATGAGAAGCTAATCGTCATCCATTCCAAGGTTCACAGGGACACTATTTTGGCTAACTTTGAAGAACAGAGGAGAAAGGATTTTTTGTGTGATATCACTCTCATTGTAGAAAATGTCCAGTTTAGAGCCCACAAAGCTCTGCTGGCTGCCAGCAGTGAGTATTTCTCAATGATGTTTGGCAACGAGGGTGAGATTGGCCAGTCGATCTACATGCTGGAAGGGATGGTGGCGGATGCCTTTGGGGCGCTCTTGGAGTTTGTCTACACAGGCTGCCTTCAGGCCAGAGAAAAGAGCACAGAGCAGATCCTAGCCACTGCCCATCTTCTCAAAGTGAATGACCTAGTGAAGGCATACAGCGATCAGCAGAAAAACTGTAGTTTGATTGATACACAACCTTCTGGTCCTGATGGGGAAACTACTGAAGTTTTCTTGGCAAACAACCAGAAGGTTGAAGATCCCCCAAAGCGAAAACGGGGAAGACCAAAAAAAGTGAAGTATGTCCAGGAGGCGCCTTCTAACGAAGACATGCAATTGAGAGAAAATAATTCAGTTCAGAACAAGCAAAATTTTATGAAGAAAGAGGCTGTGGGGGAAGACATCGAAGCCGATGAAGGGATTCCTATAAGTGGAGAAGTGACAGAAGCTGAGCATGCCTCCTGTTCAGATCCAGTAGTGAGCGTCTCCACTGAAAAAGATGAGAACTACGATCCTCAGTGCCCAAGTCCTCAGCCCAGCCAGAGTCGTTACAGCAAGCGTAGGACAAGGCAGTCAATCAAACTCAGAGATTATAAACTTACTGGTGATGAAAAGGAGACTGGCCTGAAAAAGAGGTCTGGTGGGAGAAAAAAACGTACTGGATCAGAGGTTGAGTGCAAGGTCTGTGGGAAACTATTTAAATACAACCAGTTTTTAGCTATTCATCAAAGAATTCATACTGGTGAGTACAGAACATCACTTTATACAATTTAATATCAGCATAAAATAGTCTATACAGCCAGCTGGTTGAAATAATTTTATCAGCTATAGGCATAATAATTTTTATCAATTGGTTGTAGGTAAATAAAGCTATGTGTTTTATTAATTTAATAAAACACATGAAGTTATAGTATTTGTTTACACAGTTATCCCTCCACATTTGCAGGTTTGAGTTTCATGGATTTGATTATTCAAGGATTAATTGCTGCCTCCGCCACTGCTCTTCCTGCACCATTTTAATAGAGATTTTGATAATACTGGTGTCCATCTTAGATCTTTGCTCTCTGGGAGGAAATCAAAGTAGGATTTTTTTTCCTAGTTCTCTTCTTGCTCGCCATCTATTTTAGTAATGGTCAACTTCTTCTGTGGAAATAGTGATAGATTCACTTCACTACAATGTCGGGACTTTCCGTTTGTACTTTTGTTGAGGGAGATCTGACGTCTAAGGTAAATAATCTGCCAGCCATCCTTCCAACAGGGAGCAGGGGAGCGCCTAATGCTTCTACAGCCACAAAATATTTTCTCATGTGTGGATATATTTTAGGTACTACTGCAGGCTTGATAAGATGGTGAAGAATGAATTCCTGTAGTTTGTAATTCATCATTCCTTATAAGAGTTTGTACAGCTTTATATTGTAGACCTGGATGTCCTTGACCACAGATATGCACAGCTGGTTTTTATGCAGTCACTGTTTTCACCATTTAGTTATCTTGGTTTCCTGCAATACAGTTGGCCCTCCACATTTGCAGGTTTAACTTTTGCAGATTTGATTATTCATGGATTTGATAAATAAGTTATCCCTAGAAACTTTTAGGTCTCCAGGACAATTCTTTGGTCAGCTTCTGGTGTAAGCTGGCCATAGAGTCACCTTGAAAGACCTAGAGATTCCTAGAGAGATATTCTTTCCAATAAAAATAGTGTTTATTTGCATTTTTTCCAGTTTAATGAGAGTCTTGTGCCTACTATAGTAAGTTAATTTGTACTGTCCGTGTTAAGTTATATGGTTTGAAATGTGTTTTTTTTCTGCCAACTTGAAATGTCTTAACTATTTGCCATTCACAGACCTGATACCTTGTTTTTAGGGGAGCGCCCGTTCAAGTGTAGTGAATGTGGGAAAGGTTTTTCCCAGAAACACTCTCTCCAAGTCCATGAGCGGATGCACACTGGAGAACGGCCTTATACCTGCACTGTGTGCAATAAGGCTTTAACAACAAAACACTCACTCCTGGAACACATGAGCCTCCATACAGGTGAGTCAGAAACAACTTAGCTGTGCCAAGAAAACAAGCAGAAGACAGTAAGAACTGTCTAGGCCAGGCCAAGACCTCCTAGGGCCAACAGTATTTCTAACAGCAGGGGTCCTAATTGTTGCTGTGTCCCTTCAAGTCATTTCCAGCTTATGGTGGTCCTGAGGTAAACATCTCACAAGTTGCTGTTTTTTTGGCAGAATTTCTTCAGAGAGGGTTTGCACTCAAATCGTTGTCCCTGAAAGGGTTTATAGTAATAGCAGGATTTTGTTCTGAATACCTTAACATCTGGTATTTAGGGCTGTCCTGCCTCTACACAGTATTATGTATGCTTAATAGCCTTCCAGAGAATTTATCTTACTTGACATTGATCCTTTTTAATAGTCAACCTAATTGCATGCTGGTCACCATGTCTTAAAGAGGAAATTTCATGTGAAGTAACATTTTAAGCTTAGAATACCATTCAGCCTCACTCCTTGGAATGAGTATTCAAATACTGTCCCACTTGCAGCTTCTCAAGTTGCTTCTGACTCACTCACACACACAGAACTGTATAAATACGGCATAGTTTCAACTTGCATAATTTTAATTGCTGTTTTAATAATTTATGTTTTATTATTGGTTTTAATTGTAATTGTTTTGGGGTTATTTTTTGGAATTTGTTTGTTGGGCATCAAATTGCTGCCGGTTGTGAGGTCGCCCTGACTCCGCTTCCGGGTGAGAAAGGCAGGGTGCAAGTATGGGAAATAAATAAATACCTTGGAGTAATCTTGCATAGAATTCTGCTCCTCCACATCCTTAATCAAAACCTAGCTTTTTCTAACATTTGTTATATTGTTCTGTACTGCTGCTATAGACACACAGCCACATTTGTTCTCATTTGTCTGAACCACCTCTCTGAAAGTCTTTGTTGTTTTACTTTCAGGTCAGAAGGATTTTACTTGTGATCGGTGTGGAAAATACTTCAGCCAGAAAAGGCAACTTAAGAGTCATTACAGAGTTCATACAGGTATAAGAAATTTAAGACGGACTGCATTTTCGTGAAATATGTTGAGATTTTGGAATACTCCTAATTATGATGAAATCATGTATAATTTATTTACCAATTTCTCTAAATTGAATGCTTTTTTAAAACGACATGATACTCAAGCCTTCAAAATATTTGGAATGGCATCTTCCTTAGGATTATTTAACAGGAGGCATGCATGAAAAATTGCATCATAATATAAGAAAGTATTTATTAGTTAACCAGATAGGACGTTGCTCTCTTCACCCCACCCAATTCCACAGCCCTATAGTTTGCTATTGGACTTTCCCAACAGCAAACTATAGGACCTTTTGATAGTCAGGTCATGCCCATTTTAGTAGCCTGGATCCTGGATTTGAGTATTGATTGGATAGAGTTTTAATGCTATCCAATCAATACCAGTGGTTCCCATTCTTTGGGCCTCCAGGTGTTTTGGACTTCGACTCCCAGAAATCCCAGCCAGGAACTGTGAGAGCTGAAGTCCCAAACACCTGGAGGCCAAAAGGTTGGGAACCACTGGTTTATGCTTTTATGTCTATGTAACTTTGTTTTTAACTGGACAAATGCTCTGTTTGATTATGTTCTTATTTTTATTGTGTTTTTGTTTGCTGGATTGCTTGTTTATTGTTCTAAGGACATTTGCACCCATGTAAGCTGTCCCGAGTCCCTTCGGGGAGATGGTGGTGGGGTAGAAGAATAAAATTATTATTATTATTAGTTCTGTATTACGTAGCAATACTGCTGTTTGTTGAATAAATGGTTTAAAACTAGTTATGCGACCCTCGAGCTTGGCAATGATGATTGGAACGGAATATGGATAACGAGATTGGATTGTGATTCTATGATGAGACGTCGCGAATGATTTAGTGTAATTGTATTATTGATAGTGATGTTGTTATTGTTGTTTGTGATATTGCCTTTATTGTAAATTGTTTTTTATATGTTGTACACCGCCGTGAGTCGCCCTAGGGCTGAGAACGACGGTCTACAAATGCAGTAAGTAAATAAATAAATAAATAAATAAATAAATAAAAATTCAAGTCAGTATGGATATTCTAGAGCTAAGGAAATATCAAAAGTGACTTTGCGCATGATGTGGAAGTACAGGGAGGAAGCTTTTATGAAATATATTTCCAGAAAAACCTATGGATGGCAGGTGTTTCTCTTGTGAGCAGTGTGAATACTATTTCCATTTTGAGTGGCCATTCACTCCCTCCAGGAGAAATGTACATGTTTGTCTTTTAAACATTTCACATACACAACTGGGACAGAGAAAGAACAGCAAAAGCTGGGTAGGATTCCTGTTTCTACATTTCCAGAAAACATCCAAAGCTTTTCTCATGTCCTTAGCAGTACAGTGTCAACATGTCTGTGTTACCTCTATACATGGGTTTCATAGAAAAGATGGGGGGAAACAAGCTTTATCCTATTGATCCATAGAGACTTGCATAGAATCCTGGTGTATTGCTATCTTCATACGTTTTGTTGTAACTCTTAATACAGCTATGTTGTGTTGGTAAAAAGTGTAAACTCAAATCTCTTTGAACACCAGAGCGAAAATATAGCTGTGTTAATAAATGTCAGTTCAGGAGCTGAAAGAGCATAGTAACTGTTGCCCCATGTGTTAGGAAAGAGTATTGCTTCCCATTTTTAGCTTGCTTTGTTTGGTTTCTAATGTACAGTAATAATGTTTGTGTTTATGCTTTTATTACTGTGATCTGGCTGGACAGCCTGTTTTATGTTCAAGCACAATAAAAAATGTAGTGAAAACATGACCCTACCTTTTTATTTTCCTTTCAGGCCATTCGTTGCCAGAATGTAGCTTGTGTAATCGCAAATTCATGGATGCAGCTCAGTTGAAGAAACATTTAAGAACACATACAGGTAATTACAATCTCATTTTGTGTATTGTTTGCAAAACTCTATAACTCATTTTCTCCCAGTCATGATGAAATCTTCTGAAATTGCTTTGAGATAGGATCTGCCAATGTAAATACGTATCTCATGCTCTTTTGGTATCATTGGGCTTCCAGGTCTTGTCCAGGAGGCTATACTGCTTATAATATTGGACAAGTTCTCAGAAAAAAGCATTTTGGGCTCCTTACAAGTCTGTAAGATCTCTCAAAATTAAAGGAACAGGGAAACAGATGTGTGTGATAATGGCAGCATCCATACTACTACTATACACTGACATCAGAGGACCTTGGAGCTACAAGAGCAAGAGCGATCTATCTCTATTCCTTCTATGTATCTTAATTCTTGATTCTCCACCTGATTTTGATAGGCTCCCATAATTCCTGAGCCATGGTGATGGAAACTTGTAGGATTTTAAGGCCGGAATATTTAAAGGACTAGAGCTTGAAAACCACTGTCTTAGTCAATAATTGCTAAAAGAGACAAAGGTCCTTTATTTTCTGATATCCTTTTTACTTTTCTGTTAAGGTAGAAGGCAATAGGAAAAGAAGAGGGTCCCATAGGAAAGCCTTGGCCCTTAGTCTGCAAGACTCGTGCAGGACCACTGATGATAGGGTGATTTGGAGAGTTCTCATTTATGGGGTCACCATAATTTGAAGTTGTCTTAATGGTAGTTAACAACAACAATCCTTCTGATAATCTTTCGGACTAGGCAAATATGTGATACCTTCTAATCTGTTTATAACCAGATTATAAGTTCTGCAAATTGAGATAAAGTAACATGTTTTTGGAACAATATTGATATATGTTTAGAGATGCCTATCCTAACCAATGATGTGCTAGCAGAAGAAAATGTATAGTGAAATTGACTAGGTCTATACCTACTTTATTGTAATATTATTGAATAGTATTGTTCTATTAACACAACCGTTCTGCTGTTATACTAACCAATAGGGTGGGTTTTTTTGTTTTTGTTTTGGTAGGTGAAAGGCCATTTACTTGTGAAATTTGTGGCAAATCTTTCACAGCAAAAAGCTCTCTTCAGACTCACATCAGAATTCACAGGTAAGTATAATTCTTCTAAGTACTGGTGCAAGGAGCCCCCAGTGGCGCAGTGGGTGGAACTGCTGAGCTGCTGAACTTGCTGACCGAAAGGTCGCCAATTCGAAACTGGGGAGCAGAGTGAATTAGCCCCAGCTTCTGCCAATGTAGCAGTTCGAAAACATGCCAATGTGAGTAGATCAGCAGGTACCACTTCTGTGAGAAGGTAATGGTGCTCCATGCAGTCATGCCGACCACATGATGTTGAAGATGTCTTTGGAAAATGCCGGCTCTTCAGCTTAGAAATTGAGACGAGCACCACCCCCCAGAGTCAGACCAACTAGACTTAATATCAAGGGGAAACCTTTACTGGTGCAAATTACAGCACTTCAGCCACTACAAACAGTAGACTTCTTCATAAACACAGTCCCACAAACACTAATCTGACTGTAAAATCAGAGGCATTAATTCCATCCATGGAAAAAGAGAGGAAAAAAACAGAAATGGATGCCAGAATATTTTTCACTTTTGTTAAAAGATGCCAAAGGAAGTGAGAGGAAGAGGAATCACTACTATAGGTTTCCACAAACAATATATGTTTCTTTTCCAAATGAATGAGCAGAGACAGACCTTGAGAGAATACATATCATTACATGAGTCCTGTTCCTTATTTAAAAGAGGGAAGGGCACAGTGGGCCCATGGTATATTTGAGCGGAAACCATAGAGTGCCTGACAGGCCTGCCTATGTTGAATGTCCTTTTGCCTATGTATTCTTGCTTTGTAAACTAGATATGAAAGTGTGGATGCACTTACTTATATGCTGTCACTTACATGTGGCTGAGCACCACACTTTGTTGTTAACTTTCCAAAATTAGCATTTGGCTCAGTGATACTATGTATCTTTCTTGTAAAATTTTTGTTTCCAAAACAGTATTGACTTATCTGACAAATTCAAATCATCTTCTCTTCCAGGGGAGAAAAGCCATATTCGTGTAGCATTTGTGGAAAATCCTTTTCTGATTCCAGCGCTAAGAGGAGACACTGCATCTTGCACACGGGCAAAAAGCCTTTCTCTTGCTCTGAGTGCAATGTGCAGTTTTCACGCTTGGACAACCTGAAATCTCACTTAAAGATTCACATGAAAGAGAAGCAGCTGCAGGAAAGAAATGGTGCTCCTTCTACTATTACCAGCACCACCGCTGCAGAGGAGATAAGGGAAACTGTTCAACTGCAACAGTACCAACTCCCCGCCTCTGGAGCACAAGAGATCCAGTTGCTGGTGACTGATTCAATGCACAACATCAACTTTGTGCCCAGCCACAATCAAGGTCTCAGTGTTGTCGCGACTGATGGCTCCCAGAACATGGTAACAGACCATGCCGGCAATCTTACTCTTCTTGCTCCTCCCCCTCAGCAGCTGCAGAACTTGCTCCTTTCAACCCAGCCAGAGTCATCAGGCCAAATTGAGAACATCAACATTGTGAGCGGCCAAATGGCACCTGCCCAGGCCGAGCAAATTCATGTCATCACACTCTCTAAGGAAGCCTTGGACCACCTCCATGCCACCCAAAGTCCGGCCGAAGTGCTTCAGATCGCTACAGGAGCATCTCCTCCAACACAGCACTTGCAAGTGGCTCAGGAAGTTAGCCATCCATATCGTATGGGCCAAGACACTGCCCAGGCTAACAAAGGGCAGACTCAAACTGTACATGTCTCTGAATCGGCTCAACAATCCCTAACTGTGGACCAGACTTCCAGTGATCTCTGTATTGAAAGGCAGACTTTTTAAAGTATATTTGCTCCTCATAAATGATTTATGATATGCTTCAAAATATATTTATCAAAAGGAAATTGAGGTCTTTCAGACAAACTTTATCAGGCTTCTTCTGTTATCTGTCTGTCTTTGCATTTTGGTATTGGTGATGTTTTCCAGCCATAACAACCGTGAACACAGTTTAGCAATCCACAAAGCAGCACTATAAAGGTTTCTTTCCTCCTCCTCCTTCCCTATTTATTAAACTATGGTTTTCCATTATATTGAAACTTGGAAACTGATCTAAACTCTCTACACTTCGGCTTGCAGATCAGAATCTTAACTAGGAGAAAAAGTGTGAAGGCCAAAATTCATTCTCAGTCCAAGGAACCAGACTTTAGTGGGCCAAGGATATTATGTCTCAATTAGGGCCTTCTGAAGGAGAAATCACATTGTACTTAAAATAAAGCAGTACTGCTGGACATCCATGCACAAATACTGCTTTTTGATGCACACTTGGTCTCCTCTTGTATCCTTTTTCCTAACTTTCCATGTTCAGCTGCAATTTTTTTTCTAAATTGAAAGATCTGATTCAATTGAAATCAGGAAAAGTCCAAAGGAGTTGCCTTTATTTCCCAATGAGCCATGTTGGAGGTGAAACATGGCCCATTTACCTCAAGAATTGGATGTGATGTTGAGTGAGGTGCGTGCAAACAAAGTGATAAGGATTTGCACACAAGGAAGAGAACAGCATGAAATGTCCAGCCTTGCAGCCACTCTTTTGAAGAGCTGGATGTTTGGACTAGTACTATGCTATGTGTCAGCCCATGTGATACTTAAGAAATAATAATCATCATCATCTTTATTTGTACCCCACCACCATCTCCCAGAGGGACTTGGGGTGGCTCACAATGCACTCAAGATGCAACCACACAAAATACAGAAAATGTAAAAACAACAAAAAAAACCCAACAAATAACCAACATAAACTTCACAATTCCCCCTGGTTAAAGTCAACAGAGTACAGAAATAGCTGCAGCTAAAAACAACAGTAATCAGTCTCAGTCTTGTAAAGTGTGTATATTCATTAATGGAGTCAAAGGCTTGTTGAAAAAAACCTTGTCGAAGAAACCTAGTCTTATCACCTGCGTTCTTTGAAGCGTCTGACAGTTGTCAGATCTATTTGCTGTTAAAGCAGCAGTTTAGATCTGTACAATCCTGTTCCTTATGTGAAAATCAGATTAAGGAATTCTGTAATATAATATGGTGATTAGAATTAACGCTAGTAACAACCTTTAGTTTATTTACCGACTCCACCATAGGTGTAGTAATAGACAAATCATGCAAACTTCCTGTGCCTTAGCCTTTACACCAGGCATGAGCAAACTTGGGCCCTCCATGTGTTTTGGACTTCAACTCCCACAATCGGCTGTTAGGAATTGTGAGAGTTGAAGTCCAAAACACCTGGAGGGCCCAAGTTTGCCCATGCCTTCTTTACATCTACAACATGTGAATAAACACCTCCAATGCAACTGATTTATCTTTGAATGCTGAAGTGCTAGAAATACGTACACCCAAAATCCATAAACCACAAAATAACTTATTTAAGCGCTATCATCATTTCCCTTGAGAATATGCAACTGATTTTATTATAGGTTAAGCATGGCTGAGTTGCTGATAAAAGATCTTTCAAAATGCAGTTTGAGGAGGACAAGTATCTCAAATGGTTTCTTAGAAGCCATAGAAAAATGTACTTTATACACTGAGTTGTAAAAGTTATTTGGGGATGGGAGGAAGAAAGAATGCTACTGAAAAAGTAATTTTGGAAGGAAAATCTATAAGGCAGAAAAATAAAATATGGAAGCTTAGCTACTAAAATTAATCTCTCTAAAATGATTATTTTGCTGTGGCTATCAAAGATGCAAAAATAAAATCACCAAACCTAATGAAAAAGTGTTATTTCCTCAGACATGAGTAAAAAATGTAAAGTTGTATATTCTCACATATAAAATGGAAGTTTAAAAAAAACAATAAATGAAATTATTCTAGAATTGTTTTCTGTACAGTTTATCTGAACGCTTCAAATTCTACTGACTAATGAGAAGCTGATAGAGATTTAGTATTCTTTAGCACCCTCATTGACATTCAGCTTTTCTCACTGTGTACTTCCAGCAGGAATAAGAGCTGTGTGTGCTCATTTGACTTAGGAGTTGTTAATCTTTGCACAAAATTAAAAAATAAAAGAATATTATTATTTCAGAAAATAACTTCCCATCCAGATTTCAGAATGAATTTAATGTTGTGTCACTTGCTATCACTTATTTGTAATATTTAAATATTACAAACACGACTTGCTATCACACAAGCCAGTGTTTCCAAAGAAATCTGAAATAGACTATGTCTGGTTTTTCAAGTGTATGTCAGGGTATCCTTGCGTACTTTAGATACAATTCTTTCTGAAAACCAGCACCTAATGGCTCATTGACCACTACTGGTGTAAATCATCTACTGATAGGAAGAATCCTGCAGCTCCCAAAAGCCTTCTGAGATTTGAGGACTCCAGGACTGGTGAAAAAGTAGCACTGAGAAATAGGTGGAATGGGTTTGGATCAAACTGACTTTTCCCTGAGCATATAAAATTGAAGATCAACCAATAACGGGCCCTTCAAACATTTAGAGCTACTTGAGAGTTGCAGTCAAGCTCTAGGGAACATGTCTTTCCCAGCTCTGGCCCAGACATTCAAAATAGTTATCTAAAGGTACATCTACACTGTAGAATTAGTACAGTTTGACACAGCTTTAACTGCCATTACTTAAGTCTATGAGATCTTGAGAGCAGTAGTTTTACAAGGCCTTTGTCCTTCTCTTCAAAAGAGGACTAATGCCTTGTAAAACTACAACTTCCACAATTCCATAGCATTGAACCATTACCATTATGCCAGAGATGAGAAAAAGAGGGAAGCCTTGCCTCTGTTTATGTACTGTCTTGACTTTGTTGTCAATTGTATAACGACATTGAATGTTTGCCATATATGTACTCTGTAATCTGCTCTGAGTCCCCTTGGAGAGACAGAACAGAATATAAATAAAGTATATTAAGGAAGGGACCTGAGGCTGTTAGGAATGGTGGGAGTTGAAGTCCAAAACACCTGGAGAGCCAAAGTTTGCCCATGCCTGGTGTAGATGCACCTTTTGTTATGATACAGCCACATTTTTCTAATGATTTTTAGATCACCATGACCAGGATTATAATTGTTTACTGAATATAGAGATGATGAATAATTTAGAACATCTCGGCTAAGTTAAAATCAAATGCATACACAATGTGATTGCTTTTGTTGTGTAAATGCAAAAGAAACCCAGAGCCTATCGCAAGCTAGCAAAACTCACTGTTATGCAGAACGCTTGCACCCCATTGGAGTTGCCACGGTGCATGGAATTGTTTGTATTCTTTCCCTCGATGACATGGAAGAAACAAGGGAAGCAGCAGCAAGGCCAGGAGAGGAGAGAGAAAACCCTTACGGAGAATGTGGGCCAGGAATGCCATTTGCCCTCGGCGGATGCATGAGGTGGAAGTTGCAGGGCTCCTCACCGAACCCGCCTTTCACATGGCAGCATATGCTGCAGAGGTAACGTGCTGCAGGCCTCTCTTCTAGCAACTAAGAGTGCATCTCTGCGGTAGAATTAATGCAGTTTGGCATCACTTTAACTGCCATGGCTCAATGCTATGGAATCCCGGGATTTGTAGTTTAGTGAAGCACTACTTGGCAGGGAAGGATAAAGACCTTGTCAATCTATAACTCAATGATGAATCCACAGCATTGAGCCATGGCAGTTTAAAAGGTGTCAAACTGCTTTGATGCAACAGTATAGAAGCCAATTGATGTCATCATCTGATGCTCCCTTTTACAATGTCTTCTATATATGAAATTGTCCACATGCTTGTGGATTTCAATGGCTTCTCCGTGTATTCTGACATGGTAGTTGTTTGAGTGGTCCAGCATTCTATGTTCTCAAATAATATGCTATGCCCAGATTGGTTCATCAAGTGCTCTGCTATGGCTGACTTCTCTGGTTGAAGTAGTCTGCCGTGCCTTTCATGTTCCTTGATTCGTGTTTGGGCAATGCTGCATTTGGTGGTCCCTATGTAGACTTGTCCACAGCTGCATGGAATACAGTAGACTCCTGCAGAGGTGAGAGGATCCCTCTTGACCTTTGCTGAAGGTAGCATTTGTTGGGTTTTCTTAGTGGGTCTGTAGATTGTTTGTAGGTTGTTAATTAAGTTGATTCAGAACTGTTATGTCCAGTATCTGATGTGTATGGCGATTTCAACAGAAAAGAGGAAACCATGAAAATGAACAAAATCTGGCTATCAGTATTTTTTAAAAAAGAAAAACCTCTAAAATCAGAACAGTAAATACAGACAACACTCAAAAACAGGGGAATTCCAAACAAAACAAAAAAAACAATCAGGGCCAGCTAATCACCTACCAGCAAATAATTCCCCCAGGCAGGAAGCAGCCAAGCCTTGAAGTTGCAAGGCTTTTCAATGCTAATCAAGGTGATCAATTGCAGCATTCACACTTGCCTCAAGTAGACAAGAGTTCTTTCTCCGACCGTGGACACTCCACAGATATATAAACCTCCCTTGCCTAGTTTCCAACAGACCTCACAACCTCTGGGGATGCCTGCCATTGATGTGGGAGAAATGTCAGGAGAGAATGCTTCTGGAACATGGCCATACAGCTCGGAAAACTCACAGCAACCCAGTGATTCTGGCCATGAAAGCCTTCAACAACACAAGGAACATGTAGTTTGAGAACAATGATACAAAATGTCAGTTGATATGTACTTTGCATTTTAATGCTTTTCTTTGTCTTGAATATCTAGGCTCTGGGGAGAAATTTTCCAACCAAAATAGCAGAACCAAAAATACTTCCAATGCTGCAATTTGCATGGGATGAATATCTACATGAGAAAAAGAAAGTATGCCTTATTTTCCTACTTCTAAAAAAGATGAACTGCCCTGAATGAGTGAGATTGAGTTTTCCTTGAATGGTGGCAGGCCATTTCTGCCTTGAATAGTTGCAGGCAGGCCTGTAGCCAGGATTTTGATTGGGGGGGGGGGGGCTGAGTCTGAGTGAAAGAGGGTCTACCCTAGCAAACCTTTTGTATCGTTATCCCAATACCCCCATGCATATGGGATATATTGAGCATGGTGATCAGATCATGATATGAATAAACATAACAGTTTAAATAATGTACCAGTAAGGCCTTCTCGCGGACCACCATGAGAATTTCGGGGGGGGGGGGGGGCTGAAGCCCCTCAAGCCCCCCCCCCTCCGGCTACATGCCTGGTTGCAGGCAAATGACTTCCTCAGATTGAATTTATAAATGAGACTTCATTTGTATAATACTGAGGATAAATAAGTGCTTAAGCACGAAAATAATAGTTTATTTCCCTCCATTTTTATTTATCAATCAAAATGTATAAGTATACATCCTTTCCCCTGTTTACAATATCTTGTACAGGAAAGTATGGCATATTTTGCAGAAATAAAAAGAAGAAAATCAAACACACCTTAATCACACTTTTAATCAGTTTTTAACTTTCCCCAATTACAACTTATAATACATATACCTCTACTACACATCTTTTATCTAGGTTAGGTAATGTTTTTCCCCTGACATTAAGTCCAGTCATGTCCGACTCTGGGGTGTGGTGCTCATCTCCATTTTTAAGCCGAAGAGCCGTTGTTGTCCATAGACACCTCCAAGGTCATGTGGCCGGCATGACTGGAACGCCATAACTTTCCCGCCGGAGCAGTATTTATTGATCTACTCACATTTGCATGTTTTTGAACTGCTAGGTTGGCAGAAGCTGGGGCTAACAGCAGGAGTTCCCGCCGCTCCTCGGATTTGAACCTGTGACCTTTCGGTCAGCAAGTTCAGCAGCTCAACAGTTTAACCTACTGCGCCACCAAGGGCTTTACTTATACATATCTTATTTCATTGTTAGTATTATTATTATTATTCTTTTCCTCCCCCACCCCTTACCTTTAGTATCTATGCCACATAAGAGTTTATTGTTCTCTAACATTATGGCAGATAGTTTTTGCTTGCTTTAATTGGCCAGTGATATTTTGAGGCCCTCAAAGTAAAACTTGAAGACCTAATCACACTAGAGAATGAATCCACTTTAAATCCGGTCGCTGCCTCTTGCAGAATTCTGGGGTTTGTAGTTAGGGAGAAGCCTTTAACAGCCTCACTAAACTACAAACCCCACAATTCTGCAGGAGGCAGAAACCAGATTTAAAGTGGATTCATTCTCTAGTGTGATGAAGTAGTTGGTGGATTACAAACTAGACAAATGTCAAAAAACTGCTTTGAGTCTCCTTGTGGAGAGAAAAAGCGAGGCATAAATAAACATAATCATTATCGGAAATGGTTAAATCAGAATGCATGTATTAGATTATTTATTGGCACTTTATACTTCAGAATTATAATACTGCTGTTTTTTATACAGCTATTTCTGTATTATTATTTTTTACCAGAGGGTACTTTGAGCCCCGGTGGCACAATGGGTTAAACTGCTGAACTGCTGAACTTGATGACTGAAAGGTTACTGGTTTGAATCTGGGGAGCATGGTGAGCTCCCACTGTTAGCCCCAGCTTCCAATCTAGCACTTCAAAAACATGCAAATGTGAGTAGATAGATAGGTACTGCTTTGGCGGGAAGGTAATGGCACTCCATGCAATCATGCCAGCCAAATGACCTTAGAAATGGAGATGAGCACTAATACCCAAAGTCGGACACAACTGGACTTAATGTCAGGGGAAAACCTTTACCTTTACCTACTGTGAATTTATGATGTTGTTGATTGTTTATTGTCTACTTGTATGTTTTGTTTTGCACTTGTGCTTTTCATGTCACACCTTGAGTGTTTTCTGAGCCATCCCGAGTCTCTCTGGGAGATGGTGGTGGGATATAAATAGAAATTGTTTTTATTATTATTATTATTATTATTATTATTATTATTATTATTAGAACAATACTGTATTCTATAAGACAAAAGATGCATCACAAACTACTACGGTATAAAGAAGGATCCTAATTAATTGAGAGTAAAAAAGCAGCTCCTGTTTGCAAAAGTGTCATGCAAACATGAAGACAACAAACCATATGGGTCCTAGGAATAATTTAAAATGGTCAAAAGAGCAAGTCGTAAAAGGGTGAGGGACACCCATATGCTAAAGCTTGCAAGTTGGACTTAGATGCTCCAAAGCAAACAACTGTCAGTGCTTTGGAACACGATGACATTGTGAAGCCATATTCCATTATCTCTTCTTATCTCCTTCCTTCCTTTGCTCTTTAGGTTTTTACAATAAACAACACACACACACACAAGCACAGTTTTTAAAATGCTATCAGAAACAGTAAATCGGGGCATTTACTACTAAAGATTTACAGAGTTTAACCTTTGGATATTTGCTTGAGAGTAGATTCCCAGATGATTTCTGTGGTCTTGAGTCCCTAATAAGGTGCATGAGACTCCTGCTTTCCTCACTGAGAAGCACAACAGTCTTGCCCTTAAGACAACAAACTTTACCTACAGACCGAGGTGCTGACATCTTCGTTTATGAGCCAGCCCTATATCCAAACTATCCAGCTCCTGAGAGAAATATTGCTGGAAGCATATGAATAACATGATACTGATGTCTGAATTCAAAAAGACTAAAGTGCACTGCTACCCAGGAGCAGACTATAGGAATATTTTCTAGTGTAGAAATCAAATAGGCATTCTGGTTTTGGGGCGGTCTAAAACACACACTTGGTCCTGAAGACAGACATTGTCTTGCATGTATCTAAGTTTCCTTATGGAAGTGATTGACCTACTATATTTATTTAAAGCAGAATTGCGCATTCAGTGCCATTTGAGCCATATCCATATTTGCATTTGTTTGGGCATATAGCTGGATATCCATTGTGTTGGTATAGTTGCACAGCAGAATTAATGCATAACTCCTACAAAATCCCTAATGTAAGATCTTGATCTTGGAGTGCTCAGGGAACGTCTGCAAGTGTCTGCCCTTCACAGTGGAAATGTATCTCAATTTTTCAGATATCTCCTTGTCTGCATTATTATTGTTGTCATTGCCATAAATTCTGCATGTTGCTTTACGATTAAATGTGCATTGACTTGGCATTTGGTCTTCTCATCACAGGAGCTGAGAGGAGAAACATGGGAGTATGCTTCCAACGTAATGTGCTTTGTTGATGGCCAGCTCCTTGGAGATGAGAAGATGTTGCTCAAGTGGGCTTATGATGTTTGGGATTATCAAGACTTTAAACCGGAAGCACTTTATGAAGCCATTACACAGGATTTTCTCACTAAATACATGAAAAACAAGAAGGTAGGTTCTTGGTTTTCAAAGTAAAACAATGTTGACCAAAAAAAATGGCCACTGCATCGTCTCCTTTGACATTTGTCTTCATTTTGCCAACAATGCAGACATGTACATCCCACTTGTCTTTGTCTATTATTTGCTGTGATATCAAAAACCAGGCAAACTTTACTAAGCACTAACCCTTTTGCAATCCCACTTTTAATTCTGATTTGGAGATAAGGATGTGGTGTCTAAATCAGTTTGCCTGGTCTGGACACCACATCAAACTGTGGCAAGAAGAAATCAGAAGGAGGCATTGGCATCAGTGAAAATAAGATATACAGGTTGAGTATTCCTTACCCAGAATTCTGAAATGCTTCAGAATCCAAAATTGTCCACCGGGGTAATGTCTTTGTTTTCTGATGGTTACCAGTGTACACAAACTTAGTTTTACACACAAAGGTAGGGAGCCGTGGTGGCACAATGGGTTAAACCCTTGTGCCGGCTGAACTGCTGACCAAAAGGTTGGCGATTCGAATCCATGAGACAGGATGAGCTCCCGTCTGTCAGCTCCAGCTTCCCATATGAGGACATGAGAGAAGCCTCCCTCAGGATGGTAAAACATCCGGGCATCCCCTGGGCAACATCCTTGCAGGCAGCCAATTCTCTTACACCAAAAGTGACCCCATTTTCTTAAGTCGCTTCTGACACACAACAAATGCACAAAGATATTGTGTATAAAATTACCTTCAGGCTATGTATGTAAGAGATACACAGTATATGAAAAATAAAATAATATTTCATATACTGTATATCTTGTACACTTACATCCCATCTCCAAGATATCTCACACACACAAGCATTCCAAAATCCAAAAATAATCTAAAATACAGAATACTTCTGGTGTCAAGTATTTTGGATAATGCATGCTCAAACTTTCTTTTTACATCATCATAGGATGACTGCACCCAACGTAGTAAATTAATATATAGGACTTTGCACATCTGACATTTACTTAGGGACCCAATGAAGTCCATTGCATATGTCAAAATCCAGAGTGTATTTGAATGCATGTATCATAACCCTGTCAAAGCTGAGCAGGTATAGTGTGCAAAACAGTACATTCTGCATGCCACCTTAAGTTCCCAGAAGGAAAGTCATATGATAAATTCCCTCCTAAATTGTAATTCTTATACACTGAGAACTCTCTTAACAGTTTTGACACTAGGTTTAATTTTCACTACAACAGACAGTTTATAAATGTGTAATCAGAACAAGAAAGGTAATGTTAATAATCCAGATGAAGTCTTACTTTTGCATATTTGTTAATAACCAGGATACTGAAAACAACTCAGCAAAATCACAGCACAGGGAAGTACAGGACAAACTAGTTGTTTTCTTGCTGATTGGAATGCGATCCTTTACCTTCTGAAGCATGACTAACAGTCAGAAGGGAGAAGTCTTTATTTAATGATTTGGTGTATTCTACTTTGACCTCCGGGCTTGTTATCTTGGCAGCACATATTTGTATATCTGGAGGTAGCTATTCAAGAGGTGACTGTTGGAAAACTGCTGATTGAGGTAAGTCAAACCAGAGCAATCAAACCTTGGTATTAGAGATTTGCCCTTAAAGAAAAGCAATGTGCAGTTGTTTAAAATGAATTTTAACATGCCAGAGGACATAATATACACTCAAAAATGTCCTACTGAGGGAGTATAGGATTTGATGAGTCCTATGCTAACTTGGATTCTATGCTTGCTAAGGTAGAAAATATAGTAATAAGAAAAAAAGTGAAATGCCATTACATGGGGATAGACTCAATCAAGGGAGCCACAGCCTTGAGTTTACAAGACTTGAGCAGAACTGTTGATAACAAAGAGATTTGGAGTCTTCTCATTAATAGGATTACTATATGTTGAGGTTGACTTGAAAGCAGTTAACAACAAAAAACAACAATGCTCACTTACTATGAATACTATGTTTCATTGGAAAATCAAAAATGGCTTGATAAAAGAAGAAGACAGCTGTTGAAACCGGGAAACCCCATTGTGTCATAATAAGTAAGCTTCATGAGAGTTATGATAGCAAAAGATAAATGGCCAAGGAGCAGAACACACTGGTAAGGGTATTCAGTTCTGGTGGCAAAATAATGATGGTGAAATTGCCAAAGTGGGGTGCAGTCATACATAATGTGGAAGCAGCATAGGAACACTTGTATTTCAGAGCTGTCATCCCCAGCCCCCATTAATAGTGTAAATTTACATCAGCTGTTTACCTGGAGCAAGGCATTCCCTTCCCACTTTCAGTGGAACAGGAAAATATTTTAAAAATTGTAATGTCCCAAGCCATGTTGCTATAAAACTTCATCAAATTGAGAACTATGGTTCCTCCCCCACATATGAACATCTATGCAGATTTGATAGATCAATTAAATAATAATAATCATCATCATCATCATCATCATCACCTTTACTTTTAGACCGCCCCATCTCCCCCAGGGAACTCAGGGCTGTTTAGACATACAAAGGCAAATATTCAATGCCTGGCATATACCAAAACATTACAACAATAAACATAACATGGAATAATAACAGCATTATACTAATCAAGTGAAATCTATATAAATAAAAATGTAATATTTGTTTGTGGGATTAACATAACTCAAAAACCACTGGACGAACTGACACCAAATTTGGGCACAATACTCGCATCAGGCCAACAAGTGACCATCACTCATAAAAACACTGGAAACACAGCAGAAGAGACTTAAAAAGCAAAAAATAAAATAAATACATTACAATGCATGCACAAAACTATATATATATATATATATACACACACACACACGCAAACACACGTACATACACATATATGCACATATACACAGACTGGGCCACAGCAACACATGACAAGGGACAGCTAGTTAAAAATAAAAACAAAAACATATTAAAAACATAATAAAAACAAGAACTAATTACTAAATAAGTAGATTTAAAAGCATAGTCAACAATAAAACATCTAACATAATCAGCACAATTAAAAATTAGGTAAACATTTGGTTGTTAGTTGTGCTTAACTGTACCATAATGGCCATAAAGTACAGATAGAACAGCCTGCTTTTCAAGTGCTCTAATCCTCCTCCTCCTCATATGCCAAAGTGCAAAGGTGTGTTTTTAGTAGCTTTTTGAAAGATAGGAGGGTGGGGCCATTTTTATATCTTTCGGAAGGGGGCTCCAGAGGTGAGGAGTGATCTCAGAGAAGGCCCCCTCTCTCATCCCCACCAGCCATGCTTGTGACCATCACAAGCATGGCTGGGATCAAGAGGAGGGTCTCTTCCGCAGACTGGCATGCCCAGGATGGTTTGTATAGGGAGATGCAATTAGACAAATAGCCTCCAGGTCTTACAATGTTTGCTCTTGGAAGCTAAGAAGATCAGGTTATTAACCTGGATCGGAAACTGGCAAAGAACACCAACTGCTGTAGATTGTATTTCAGAGCAAAAGTCAAGCAAAGGGTCTTAGTAATAGAAAAGGTATTGGCTTGTCTCCTTAAAGACAGCAGGGAGAGTATCAGGGAAAGTGTTCCTGGAAAACCTGCTTTCCTCTTTTGTTTGTTGCTGGGCATTGGTAGTTGGGAATGATCATGAACATTTGAGCTGAAGCAGGAAAGTGATTTACAACAAAATACTAAATCCACAAAATAGTAGGTCAAATGAAATGCAGAAAAGACATAATGCAAGTGACTGTGAATTATCATAGAAGTGCAAAAATGCATATACCGTATATACTCGAGTATAAGCCGACCTGAATATAAGCCGAGACACTTAATTTTACCACAAAAAACTGGGAAAACGTAATGGATTGAGTGTAAGCCAAGGGTGGGAAATGCAGCAGCTATTGGCCAATTTCAAAAATAAAAATAGATACCAATAAAACTGCATTAATTGAGGCATCTGTAGGTTAAATGTTTTTGAAAATTTACATAAAACTGTAATTTAAGATAAGACTGTCCAACTCTGATTAAATTATTACTCTAACCTTCTTCAATGTAAATGTGCTTACATATCCTTCCAATAATCACTATAGTTTATTTTAACTATACATTTTGGGGGAAATGCTGTGTGTATATGATGAATAAGGAAAAGTGGGGAAGATGGTGCCAAGAGAGGAGGAGAGGAAGGAGAGCTGGGTTGATGTGCACATAGGAGAGGGTCCGGACAGAAATCCCTTCTTTCAGCCCCACACCTTCCTGCCAGGACTCTCACTTGAGTATAAGCCGAGGGGGGCTTTTCAAGCCTCAAAAAGGACTTAAAAACTAGGCTTCTACTCGAGTATATACAGTAATTCCTTTGATAGCTGGAGGGCCTGCTTTTGACGCTCTTGACAATTCTTTCCTCACATTTCAAAATTATTACCTTCAGACATGGGCACCAGAAGCTAGCTTTTAAAAAGCCTGAAAGGCTGAAACGGTGTATGCAACATACACAGAGATTTTCTAATATACAGGGTTAGTCAAAATGAATAGGCCAATAAGAAAATTAATTTTAGACGAATGTATGTTTATTGCAACCAAACTACAGCTACGTAGCGACAGATAAACTATCAAAGTTTTGTCTCACCTTCAGAGATGTTCGATATGGGCGCCCCGTGTGACACGGCAGATGTCCAAGCGATAGTCCAGTTCATTCCACATCCATTGCAGCACATCCGACGTAATGGCATCGAATGCAGCAACGTCTGGGAAGGTGTTCGTTGAGGTCCTAACCCTAACCCTAACCCTAACCCTATCCCTAACCCTAACCCTAACCCTAACCCTAACCCTAACCCTTGAAATTCTCGCTGGACCGTAATTACTGACATTGTTTTAGCAAATGTCATCACACAAAACGCCTTCTCTTTGCTTGATTCCGCCATTTTGAAAACAGCGACCCCTAGCGACGCCTAGCGGCATTAACGTACATGTGTGTTGCTCAAAAAAAACTTTGATAGTTTATCTGTCGCTACGTAGCTGTGGTTTGGTTACAGTAAACATACATTCGTCTAAAATTAATTTTCTTATTGGCCTATTCATTTTGACTAACCCTGTATTTAGTTCATGCAGTGCTACTCTCCCAACAGATATCATGAGGCAATCTTTTCAGATTGATCTTGTGGTAACCTACCACATTCTTCCTCTCTCCGTCATGCAGCTCTTTTCTGATATCTGCCCCAGGACATGCAGGAATTTCAAATGTTTGTGTACAGGGGAGAAAATAAATGCAGAGACTGGGAAGGTGCTCACTTACCAAGATTCTATCTTTCACCGCATTGTCAAAAACGGCTGGATTCAAGGAGGAGGTGGGTGCAGAAACCTGTTTATATAATAACAAGGCCTAAATGTGGTTTTTAATCCCTGAATCAAAGGACATTATATAAACATTGACTTACCAGAGCCCCATGAGCTGTGGTTAGGCTTTGGTGTCCTTGTCAACATACATTTATTTATTTATTTACATCATTTTTATCCCATCCATTTCAGCCCGAAGGCGACTCAGGGTGGCATACAGACCGGCAACAATTAGGTGCCATATATACAGGGGAGCTTTTACACAATTAAAACTTGTGCACCAGCTGCGCCCGTACCTTGGGAAGTCTGACTTGGCCACGGTAGTCCACGCTCTGGTTACATCCCGTTTAGACTACTGCAACGCTCTCTACGTGGGGTTGCCTCTGAAGACTGCCCGGAAGCTTCAATCAGTCCAACGTGCGGCAGCCAGATTGCTAACAGGGGCGGGGTACAGAGACCATACGACCCCTCTGCTACGCCAGCTCCACTGGCTGCCGATCAGCTTCCGTGCACAATTCAAAGTGCTGGTTCTGACCTATAAAGCCCTAAACGGCTCTGGCCCAGTTTACCTGTCCGAACGGATTCTCCCCTATGAACCATCAAGGCTACTAAGATCTTCCGGGGGGGGGGGCTGCTCTCGGTCCCACCACCCTCACAATCACGGCTGGTGGGGACGAGAGACAGGGCCTTCTCGGTGGTGGCTCCCCGGCTTTGGAACTCCCTCCCACTAGAGGTTAGATCTGCCCCCTCCCTCCTGACGTTCAGGAAATTACTAAAAACCTGGCTCTGGAATGTGGCATTCGAGGACTGAACCTAGAACCTTTCCCTGTGATGAATTATAATGAACTGTGACTACGAGCATGACTATGATTACGACTGGATTGACGATTTGGCTTAGGAAACTGTAATGATGATGTTTTTATTGTACTGTATTCTACTATTTTAATATGTAATGATCTGCACTTGTTGTTTTTTATATGATTGTACTTTATATATGCTGTAAACCGACCTGAGTCCCTCGTCGAAGTTGAGAAGGCCGGTATAGAAAACTTCGAAATAAATAAAATAATAAATAAAGGCAATTAAATCACATCATAAATACATATAAAAACCATAGAAGCAATAAAAACTATAAGAATATATAAAAACAATGTCTTCCAGTTCAATTCCTCATCCGTTTACATCGTCTTAGCCGTTCCGTGTTCAAATTCCAGTTTGAGTTTCTCTGGTCATGCTGAAGTTCCAAACACTTGCTCAAAAAGCCAGGTTTTCAATCTTTTCCAAAAGGTCAGGAAGGAGGGGGCTGATCTAATATCCTTGGGCAGGGAGTTCCACAGCTGAGGGACCACCATTGAGAAGGCCCTGTCTCTCGTCCCCGCCAGACACGCCTGTGAAGAACATGACTGTGTTCTTCACACCCATCATCAAAATAAAAAACAGATTTTGACATAATACTAATATGCATGTAGTAGCAATATCTCTGCAGTAGGTTAAGGCAGCTCTCCCTTCAAAATCTTGAAAATAGACCCAGCTAGTGTTTTTGAATGGAGCCTCCTTCACCTGATTTGCAACAGATTGGATACATACTCTTCTGGGGGCACTCAGATTTTCCTTGCATTGAAGAAAATAGAGCCACTTTACAGAAGGGTTTTGGGTGAATTCAAAAGATGCAAAGACATTATTTGCTTGTTAGTGATCCCTTCTGCTGGGTTCACTAATGTGTGGATATGGAGGTCCAATCATATTATTATTTCTTACAGGGAAAAGGCAGAATGAGTTTTAGCAGGAATGTTTTAAGAAAAAACATAATAAACCATGGTATCAAGATGAAACATGTAGAGACTTTTTATACAGACGTTATTGTGTGGAAGTATTTTGGTCAGATGGAGCCAGACCTAAGAAAATAATCACTGGCTACTCAAAATAAATCTGCACAAGTAACTAGGCTGCAAATCTTTGGGGGGGAAACTGCTTTTCTTGTTAGTTTATTTACAGCATTTATATTCCGCCTTTCTCACCCTGAAGGGGACTCAGGGTGGTTCACAGAACAGATACATGGCCAACATTCAATGACAAGACAGACAACAGATAGAGATATTATGTTGGCATTTTCCCAAACTTTGGTGCCCTGGAGGTCATGCTCGATTCCGGCCACAGGAGAGTGCTGTCGCTCCATCCTCTATGACAAAGAGCCTTGATCACAGACTTCCTCTTTCCTTTGATCGCCAGCATTTTTTGGTATTTATTTTATGATGCCGTAAAATACCTCCCCACTTAAGCAGTGCCTAATTTCTCTACTCACAGTTCACAGCTGTTTTCAAACTGCTTAGGTGGACAGTGGGCTGGGCTGAAGGTCAGGTGCTCACCCTGACCTGAGCTTCGAACTGCCAACCTTTCAATTGGTAAGATGCCTTGCTGCTGGTGATTCACCAGCTGTGCTAATGTCATGAAAATATATTTCATAGAACATCATTTTAGCTTCTTTTTTTAATAAAAAGATGTTAATAATCACTTATTTATTTTAAATATAGACATTCATGAAGGAAAAGGAAATGGAGGCGAGTCAATATATGGACCTATCTTTGAAGGTAGGTATGAAATGTACTGGTGAGACCAAACTAGGAAGCCTCATAGATGTAGCCAAAGATACTTTCTGAACATAAAATAATAGCAAACTGAATGAGCTGCACAAACTTCTGCACTGCAATTACTTGCTGGTAACTCATTAATTGGGACGATTTAATGTTTTCTTATAGGATTTACTGTTACTCCTCCCTCAGTAAGAATTGTACTGCACGTGTGAAACATATGCGTTAGCCAGAACATTCATTTGCATTGCATTAGCCTTATATCAGTTTCACTTCCCCACAAAAAGGGATCAGATTTTGTTTATGAAAGAGATTCAAAGGCAACTTAAAGTATTGTGTATGCCAGTGGTTCCCAACCTGTGGTTTGTAGACCACCAGTGGTCTGCAAGAACTAAAATACGTTCTGCGGCCTCACCATTACTATACCGTTGCAATGGGAGCAACTGGTCTTGCGAAACCCTCATATAGTGCCAAGGCTTATTAAATATGTTTTTTGTGGGCAAACAGATGGCAACTACTGGGTAGCATATGCTCTGTATCAGAAACTATGGCTGATGTGGTCTATCCAATGCAATTTTCTGAATCAGCACCCCAAATAACCAAACTGAATCTAAAGTTGACCAAAAACTGATTCGTATCCCTTTTGGTATGAATGTTGGAGAGTGGTCCCTGTCAAAGTGGTCTTTGGTCAAAGTGGTAAAAAAAAAAAAAGGTTGGGAACCTCTGGTGTATGCAAAGCCCCCTGCAATTCTGGACTTCTTCACAAGCTGTAACCAATTTTGTGCAGCTTTTAGTCTGAAAATTCAGCGTAGAATAAAGATTAGTGAAATGAGAAAAGGGTAATCACTGCCATTCAATATAATAACAAAATACTGGCTTTGTAAGTCATGTACTTTATCAATATGCCTATAAGACTAAAGTTCTGTGCTAATTAACTTTTTGAACTTTTTAAAGTGCATGTACTCTGGTCAGATGACACTTTGAATCCCATTATTTTGCCTACATGTGCTACACACATGCACTATTATTTTAGTTGCTGCTGGTTTTTCGTATTTGTTGCTTTTGTTTTAGCTACAATATTGTGGTCTGCTCTGGTATGGGAGGAGGTCCACAGAGGTGATGATGCCACACTGAGTGAGACCAACCGTTTGATGCCAGTGCACGCTAGGGCATGAGTGAGAAGGAGATGTAAATTAGAAAATGTAAATCATGGGAAACTGAAATTTAAAGTCATTATGTACACATCTTAACAAACAGTGTGTTTTGCCATTTTTAGATGAAAGTTTTGCAGTTCGCCATGACAGAAGAGGTGTTTTAGGAATGGTCAACAAAGGACGTCACAGCAATGGATCCCAGTTCTACATCACACTACAAGCTGCACCTTACTTGAATGAAAAATACGTCGCTTTTGGGTATGTCTATGCTCCATGACAGATTCCATGCACCAATGTTGCAACTGAGAAATTGGGAGACGGCAACATTCCTTTTGTTTATTTGTGTACGGTGCCATCCTACTGTTCTTCCAAAGCAATATTCAATGGCTTCTTAAGTGATCTCCCATTTAGGTCTGCTTAGATGCAACAAAATGCCTGTCACAGCATGACATGCACTTAGAACTGAGGGGAAGAAATGGTGTAACTTTTGTTTCTGTTTCCCTCCTACTTTAGGCAGGTGCTTGAAGGCTCACATGTTCTCCAGGAACTGGAAGCCACAGACACATTCAACGAGAGGCCAACTGTAGAATGTAAAATTATTAACTGTGGAGTTTTTGAGCCTGGACTCTGAATGTTCGTTGTATTTAGTGAGATATTGTACTGCATATTGTTTTCTAATCATAGGTTTTATGATTGTTCAAAATGTTTGGCTAATTAAAAGAAACTTAGGACATTTTAAATGCTTGAAGTTCTTTCCCACTATTCAGGGAAAACCCCATCTTAATAATATGGGGTGTTGAATGTGTAGATGAAATGGGTAAACCGCAACCTCCTAAAGCACTTGATGGCCACCTGGCATACCAGTGTTTCCCCATGAAAAACTTATTTTTCCCTCCACTGAGAGTAATGCATTTGACTTAAAGAAGGGAACCAACACACCCAGGCCTCTTCTACACAGCCGAATAAAATCCTGCATTGTCTGCTTTGGACTGATATATAGGGCAGTATGGACTCAGATAACCCAGTTCAAAACAGGTATTGTGGGATTTTCGGCCTTGATATTCAGGGTTATATGGCTGTGTGGAAGGGCCCCCAGCTAGAATCAGTCCTTGCTTCCGATTTTGATCCCCCACCCCCTCCCGCACAACACAGACACAGAAATATGTGACTCTCTGAGCTTGGTGTGTCCCTAAGTTGGTCCTTGTCCTGGAAATTTGGCCCCTGGAAAGCTACCCATCATCCCTGATATGAGGAAAGCTAAGGAGGCTCCTCCTCTCTTTCATAACTCCAGGTAAGCAGACAGGAGCCCAATCCAGGGTTGAACCATCATAAATGGGCAGGAGAGGCGTAAACCTTTCTGCCTTCCAGTTAGTTTTCTCCTGTATCCTTCTCTCCTATGCAGGAGCAAAACAAGAACAACAGCAGTAAGCTGCATTGACACCCTAGAGGGACAGATTTATTTAAAAATATATATCTGTGGAAAAAACCTTGTCTCATAGTTCTACTTCACATTATTTGGAAGCAAGGGAAAGAAAGTTAAATTTTCCTACACACTATGCATTTAGCCCAGTGGCTCCCAACCTGTGGTCCATGGACCACCAGTGGTCCGCAAGAACTAAAATATGATCCACACCCTCATCATTACTACACCTTTGCAACGAGAGCAACTGGTCTTGCAAAACCCTCTTATAGTGCCGAGGCTTACTAAATATGGTTTTCTGTGGGTGTGCAGATGGCGACTACTGGATGGTATATGTTCTGTATCAGAAACTAGAACTGATATGGTCTATATAATGCAAGTTTCTGAATCAGCACCCCAAATAACCAAACCAAATCTAAAGTTGACCAAAAACTGATTCGTAACCATTTTGATGCTTATGTTGGAGAGTGGTCCCTGCCAAAGTGGTCCCTGGTCAAGTGGTCCTTGATCAAAAAAAGGTTGGGAACCACTGATTTAACTTAACATATCCTTTGGTCCAAGGTGACCTTTACTTTTTTAAAAGGAACATTCTAGATACTTTCAGGGAACAGTGCATTTTAAATATAGACTCCCAGTTTTTTTCTGCTTGTGAAACTTTCATGAATCTAAAAAATGAGTTGCTCTGAAGTTGTAAGCCTTTTCTGTCTGAGGCTTGCATGCCTTTATAAGTGTCAGATGATACTTTTTGCAAATGATACTTTTTGGCAAAACACTGAATAAGAACTCTTTTTCAAGTCGATTACAGCAAAAACATTATGTATAGAAATAGCATTAAGTGTTGAGCTTTATTTATGTATTATTTATTTAAAACATTTATACCCCATCCTTCTCAACCTCTGAGGAGGGACTCAGAACGGCTTCCATCAGGCAACAATTCAATGCCATACAATGTAATCACATAATAAAACAACCAAACATAGTAAAATAATTATAAACATACAGTAAAAACAGTTCGCCAAATTAAAACCATCATCCAAGTCAATCTAAAATTGTGGTCAAATAAAATATTTGTCTTCACCAGTGCAATCCATCTAATCTGCAAATGCCTGATTCCATAGCCAGGATTTCAGTTTCTTTCGGAAGGTCAGGAGGGAGGGGACAGATCTAACCTCATTGGGGGGAGAGAAGACCCTGTCTCTCATCCTCACCAAACGCGATTGCAAAGGCGGTGGGACTGAAGGCAGGGCCTCCCCAGAAGATCTTAAAGTCCTTGATGGTTCATAGGGGAAGATACATTTGGATAGGTAAACTAGGCCGGAACCGTTTAGGGTTTTATAGGTTAAGACCAGCACTTTAAATTGTGATCGGAAGCTAATAGGCAGCCAGTGGAGCTGGTATAGCAAGGGAGTAGTACACTCCCTGCATCCTGCTCCCATGACCAACCTGGCTGCCGAGCATTGGACTAGCAGGAGCTTCCGGGCAGTCTTCAGAGGCAACCCCACGCAGAGTACGTTGCAGTAGTCTTTAGGGCACTATCTCTCTCTCTCTCTCTCTCTTTTGTAAATGTCTGTTTGCTAAAACATACTCAGCATGTGGTGACTGTAGAATCTTGGTAGCAGTTAAGCACACTCACAAGGAAATATTGGAAATTTCTTGAATGATAGATTACTACTATGCAGCAAAGTCACAAATGAAGAAAACGTGGTCAACTTCTCATTTTCAATCTCCTAAACCCCACCCTCTCAGCTCCCAAAAGTTCCTCCATCCAGACTCCAGGTCTTCCAGTCTGAGCTGGTCCATGTTATCAGGTTCCTTCCCACTCAGGGCCAGATGTTTTCACTCATCAATCTTGCCTAAGAAACTCATGGCATGGAGGTGTTCTGGTGTCTTGAACACACCACATATGGATCCATGACACAGGAGTCCAAAATGTCTCCTCTCATAAAGAGAAGAGCTATACTCGTGCAATATTTGTGTAGATTTTTTTCTGAGTCCGGTGCTCCAAGAAACCCCCTTATCTTACACACTGGCAAAATGCAATGTGAAGGTTCATATGTCTCATGTGAACATTAACATCAAATAGATGCAGATGTTGGCTGTAAAGAGTACAGTGTGGAGGAAGTCAGGAACATTGCTCAGCTGCAGCAATATCATTCTGGCAGCACAAAAGAGTCAGCTGCCAGTTGCAGAGCTGGTGCATAATATAAACGCTGTGCCCTGCTACGGCCAAGATAGCAACTGTTTTACTGACAACAGTTTCAAAGAAGTGAAAGTAGGCTCTTCCTCTTCTCACTGAATCGACAGAGCAGGTGCAGGAGTTGCTTCTTTCAACCCAGCCAGAACTGAAGTCGGGGAAAAAAATATCAATACTGTGAAATGCCAAATGGAGCTTCCACAAGCTGTGGATTTGAAAAGAATCCTTGGAACACGTCCATCTCAGTCAGTACCAAGGAGAGTAGCTTCAGATAGCACCACAGGCATCAAGTCCAGCCTTAATGACTACAGTTTCATACCATCCAAGATCTAGTTCAGGAGGTAGAATGGCCTGGGGACTGCATCACTCACACACCCCATACCCCCATACTTTTGCAGCCTTCAGTCTTTGCTCAGCACTGTATGATCCTGAATACATGTTACAAAAAAAAAATGTTTTCAGCACAAATTCTGGAAGCCTCCAGGTAAAACAGAACATCTCCAAACACTCCTTCCAGCTCTCAACCCCAAAGGTATCCCCCAAACAACCCCTCACAATCAAAACTACCCAACAAAGTTCCTAGAGAAACTAGGAAATTGACTTAGATCCCAAACTGGTGTGATGCAGCTTGCTGTAAAAGAATAACATTGGTCCTTTGACTCACCAAGCATGCCCATCTATATTGTTTTAACTCTTTGAGTTAATGATTTGCTTATGCCTATGACCACAAATCTGTCATCTGGGCATGATCCTATTGAGAGATATTCCACACACAAAAATTAAGATGTAGGCTAAAAATGTATTGAAGCAGGTGGGAATATATGGGTCTTTACCACTTGTTCCAATTGCCTCCATTTGGTAGCTACAGTCCTGAATAAAACCCCTGCAATTCAAAATTTTCAGCTGCTTTTTAAAAGTATGTATGTAAAACCTAACTTGTTATTTCCTCAGTATTTACTACATTGCTTCCTTGTGCTCCTAGATATCTGTGAATGTTTGCAGAGTGACTCAGACACACACCTGGGAGTTTTCCTTGGCTTTTGTTTGTACCTTGCTTCTCAATAAAGTCAGCTGAGCAAACTCTAGTGCACATATTGGCAGCTTAGGACATACAGATTTATATCTAAATAGCAATTCCCAGTGTTGTGCTCCACATTCTATAATACCTTTCATCTTTACATTTAAATGTATGTATACAGTTCACCACTGTTATCCATGAGACTCAATATACATGGGATTCAATATCCACAGATTTAATTACTGATACTCCAAAAAATATTCCACCCAAAAGTGTTTGTGGGCATCTCTAGGGGCTCTTCCACATAGCCCTATATCCCAGAATATCGAGCCAGGATATTTATTTATTTATCGTGTCAGGAGCAACCAGACAGTTGTATTACATTTTTAACAAAACAAACAAACAAATAGACAAAACACAAAGTTTGCAAGCTTGGTAGTTGATTAAATGTTCTTTGACCAGTATTTGGTCACTTGGAGTGCCTCTGGTGTTGCCGCAAGAAGGTCCTCCATTGTGCATGTGGCAGGGCTCAGGCTGCATTGCAGCAGGTGGTCAGTGGTTTGCTCCTCTCCACACTCGCATGTCGTGGATTCCACTTTGTAGCCCCATTTCTTAAGGTTGGCTCTGCATCTTGTGCCAGTGCGCAGTCTGTTCAGCGCTTTCCAAGTCACCCAGTTTTCTGTGTGCCCAGGGGGGAAGTCTCTCATTTGGTATCAGCCACTGATGGAAGTTCTGGGTTTGAGCCTGCCACTTTTGGACTCTCACTTGCTGAGGTGTTCCAGAGAGTGTCTCTGTAGATCTTAGAAAAATATTTCATGATTTAAGTTGTTGACGTGCTGGCTGATACCCAAACAAGGGATGAGCTGGAGATGTCTCTGCCTTGGTCCTTTCACTATTGGCTGCTACTTCCCGGCGGATGTCAGGTGATGCAATACCGGCTAAGCAGTGTAATTTCTCCAGTGGTGTAGGGTGCAGACACCCTGTGATAATGCAGCATGTTTCATTAAGAGCCACATCTACTGTTTTAGCATGGTGAGATGTGTTCCACACTGAGCATACATACTCAGCCAGGAAAACCCACATTATCTGA